GCCCCCAAAATATAGAACAAAACACAGAGGCCGCCAACACCCAAGATCCAAGTGAGACGCTTCCTCTTCGATTCCAGCTGGTGAGGCTTTGGTGATCCATTATACTCCTTTCCCATTTTCAACCTACAAAATAATAATGACTTAATCAAACTCTCTCTCTCTCTCTCTCTCTCTCCCTTCAATTTTATACTCCAACACTTGGAACCAATTAATAAGAACAACAAATAACAACTGTGCCAGTTTCAGAAAATGATCTTGCAGAACAACATTATAGATTAGACTATATATATATGAAATGGGAGCAACTTCCAGAGAAGTAACAGTGATAAATTCAGAAATCCTACACCAACCCATCAAACTCTGACGAAATCGTAGGCATAAAAATTGAAAAAAGAAAAAGAAAAACTGAGATTCGCATCACAAGGGTGAAGGAGGTGAGACATTCACTGAGAAAAACAAAAATACAAAAACAAGTCCAATGTCATCATGATAATCAATCAGTATGCAATACAATATAGGGGAAAATGCTAAATACTTTGAGAATCAGAAAACACCAAGTCAGAACACATTTTATTAGCAGATTATACAACTCCTCATACATAATTTCAGTCGCTAAACTAAACAGAGAAAACCCTCCCTCTCAAACTTTTTGTTTGTTTCTGCAAACTTTTTCCTTCACTTCCAAGTAGATGGGGAAAAAATTCCAGCAAAAATCCATGCAAGCAAGAACAAGAACAAGAAACTTTAAACCTGATAGAAACCCATACCTAATAATATAATCAGAAGCTATCAACAGAATATTGATAATTGAACTGACAAGAAAAATGGGTATATGCCTGATGTACTTACTGTATGGTTTATGGAAAGTAAGATGCAACTTTTGTCTATTTACAATGTTAAAAAAATGAAAACAAAACTTGGAAGAACAAGATTAGAAGAAGCATAGAAGACGTACTCCGAGAAAAATGACAGTGAGGACGTCCTTCTTTCAGTGTAAATGGTGATTGCTTATCTCTTTGCTTGTTCCATCATCTGGTTTCATGTCCGAAGAATCTCATGTTTTTGTTTCTATTTTTATTTTTATTATTTTTAGGTAAATTACACTTATACCTCTTGAAGTTTATTAGATACATTCCATCTATACCACAACGATATTTATCATCATCATCATCATCATCATCATTATTACAATTAAAAGAAGAAGAATAAGAAGAATTAGGATTAATCAATTTAAATGAAGGACATTTGTTTTTGTTTTTGTTTTTGTGTTTTTTACCATTTTTATTCCAAGGGATCAAGCAACGGGAACAGTGAGCCATGTCAAAAGCCCTTGCAGGATAAGGAAGTCTCTGGGAAGCCATGATCCCAATCATAGCAGGAACTCCTCGCTCTAATGCAAACCAAACCTGTGCTTCGTGTGTATCCCTTGGTGCAAATGACATGGCTATGATGTTCCTCTTCAACAGGTATGCTCCCCAACTAGCAACCTTTCATCAATTGATCATTATCATTATCGTTATCATTATCATTATAATTCATTAATACTAATAAAATAAAATAAACACTAGTAGTTTAATTTAAACAAAACTTACTCCACAACCAAGGGAAGTCGCCCTAAACACTAAAAACACATAGTTTAGCAAAACCGTTTTGTTCTAGTCCCAAAAAATAAAAATAGAAGTATGTTTTGATGGAAAAATCCAAGCACAAAGAAGAATTCTGAAGAGGAACCAGTAGATAGCTGGGATGGAAAGGAAGATTCCCAGAGCAAAACTTTGAACTAGTTTTGGTCTTGTTTAGCCTCACCAGTCCAATAAGTTTTGACAGCAAGAAGAATTTTCTCAGGGTTAAATGGTCCGCTTTCATGGTCCATAATCTGGCTCTTCCATCTCATTCCATCTGTTATACTTTTAATCTTCACAAGAACCTCTACCACATCTCTAAATATTACTGTCCCTTCTGGTCGCAGGATTCTATCCATCTCTAGCAGAATATTTGTAATGTCGCACCTTTCAATAAAAAATAAAATCAACTCAACTCAAATCAAATCAAGAAAGAAAAAAAAATAATAATGTCGATCATCAGAGAGATCACAGATAAAAAATGGATGGATGGATTTTATCATGTTATGTATGTAGTAGTATGTACCTATCCTGGTAAATACTGAAGACACCAGCTGCATGGATAAGATCATATGTTCGTGGATAGGTTGAAAATGCCTCGCACCAATCATGATAGGTCCCAATGAAACCCCGTTCATAGATGAGTCCAAGAGTGTCGTGATCTGAACTTGAATCGGCAGGGACAACATTCATTACCCACACAGGATATTTGGTTAGGGCTGCTGCAAATCCTCCTAGGTATGCATTCATGTCCATCACATTCCTGTATCGTCCTTGAGGTAAGGCGCCAATGATACGCTTGTAGTGTGCCACCCTCTCTTTCCACACCTCATTATCCTCATGGAATTTCTCTACAGTAATCCCACTTCCACTAGTACTTATCCTCGGAGGAATGGCAAATGCACGCTGCGGCCATTTCTCTAATGCACCCCCCGCAATATCATGTAACCCTCTTACCTCCGGCATTGGGGTGATGCACTTCTCCATGTCTTTGTACCTTTTTTTAATTTTTTCAAAAAAAATTATGTGGAAGACAAGAGTTACTAGTAATTAGAAAGAATACTAATGTTGTGTTTGGTTGGGGGATTTGGGAAGGGATTTGGAAAGGGAAATGGAAAAGGTAGGTGAAATGTGAATAAATCATGCCTATATTTCACATAATTTCACACACCTTTTCCCTTTCCCTTTCCAAATCCCTCAACCAAACACAACATAAAAGAATTTCAAGTGAGTAAAAATCAAATAAATAAATGTTAGTAGTAGGTAGTACCAAGCTGCATCAGCATTGTCTGATTTGCATATGTGTGGAGTATGATAAATCTTCCTGTTCTGTATGCACTGAATGTGATTATTGGGTTTTTGCCAAATAGCGAGGTCACCCTTTTCAATGACTTTCTTCCAGCAGAGGCGTTTGGCTACATCCTCAATAGAATCCTGCTCTTGTTTCAAATCTTCTTCTGTTCTTTCCCATCCTTTCCAGTATTTCTTCCACCGGATTGGAGGCCCAGATAGTATCCAATAACCACCAGGCCTTAGAACTCTGTCCACTTCTATTAGATACATTCCATCTATACCACAACGATATTTATCATCATCATCATCATCATCATCATTATTACAATTAAAAGAAGAAGAATAAGAAGAATTAGGATTAATCAATTTAAATGAAGGACATTTGTTTTTGTTTTTGTTTTTGTGTTTTTTACCATTTTTATTCCAAGGGATCAAGCAACGGGAACAGTGAGCCATGTCAAAAGCCCTTGCAGGATAAGGAAGTCTCTGGGAAGCCATGATCCCAATCATAGCAGGAACTCCTCGCTCTAATGCAAACCAAACCTGTGCTTCGTGTGTATCCCTTGGTGCAAATGACATGGCTATGATGTTCCTCTTCAACAGGTATGCTCCCCAACTAGCAACCTTTCATCAATTGATCATTATCATTATCGTTATCATTATCATTATAATTCATTAATACTAATAAAATAAAATAAACACTAGTAGTTTAATTTAAACAAAACTTACTCCACAACCAGTGTCAATGGCAGTCCTGATTTTCCCACTGTTAAGAGGAATTAGCTGAGCAATATCATCAATGTAAGCATCAGCTCCACGAGGGAACATGGTGCCTCCGCCTGGGAATCGGAAGCGATCCCCCTCCACTTGGATCCAGTTCTGAATAGCCTTCTCAATGCTGAGTTCTTTATGAGGAATGTTGTCATACCACGCATAATCTCTGCTCTGAGGCCATTTGAAAGGTGCCTTGTAGTTTGGCGGAGGAGGTATTAGGCACCGGAGGAGCTCTTCCTTTGTAGGGCAATGTCTCTCTCTGTATTTCAACATGCTGCGATCGAATTTCCGCCCCCTTTGTGGATCTTGGCACGGAGTGTATTCACTGAAGGACATATCACACGGTGGGAATTGCTCGATGGTCCCCCCAGAGCTATTCACCACCAATTCATGATGCCTTTCAAAATCCAGTGGGGAATCAGATGCAGATGCAGCTTGCCCATTTCCGTCACCACACTCAACTCTGTTGTAGACTTCAGATCGGGCAGACGGAGCAGTTGTACTCTGCCATGCCCCCAAAATATAGAACAAAACGCAGAGGCCGCCAACACCCAAGATCCAAGTGAGACGCTTCCTCTTCGATTCCAGCTGGTGAGGCTTTGGTGATCCATTATACTCCTTTCCCATTTTCAACCTACAAAATAATAATGACTTAATCAAATTCTCTCTGTCTCTCTCTCTCCCTTCAATTTTATACTCCAACACTTGGAACCAATTAATAAGAACAACAAATAACAACTGTGCCAGTTTCAGAAAATGATCTTGCAGAACAACATTATAGATTAGACTATATATATATGAAATGGGAGCAACTTCCAGAGAAGTAACAGTGATAAATTCAGAAATCCTACACCAACCCATCAAACTCTGACGAAATCGTAGGCATAAAAATTGAAAAAAGAAAAAGAAAAACTGAGATTCGCATCACAAGGGTGAAGGAGGTGAGACATTCACTGAGAAAAACAAAAATACAAAAACAAGTCCAATGTCATCATGATAATCAATCAGTATGCAATACAATATAGGGGAAAATGCTAAATACTTTGAGAATCAGAAAACACCAAGTCAGAACACATTTTATTAGCAGATTATACAACTCCTCATACATAATTTCAGTCGCTAAACTAAACAGAGAAAACCCTCCCTCTCAAACTTTTTGTTTGTTTCTGCAAACTTTTTCCTTCACTTCCAAGTAGATGGGGAAAAAATTCCAGCAAAAATCCAAGCAAGCAAGAACAAGAACAAGAAACTTTAAACCTGATAGAAACCCATACCTAATAATATAATCAGAAGCTATCAACAGAATATTGATAATTGAACTGACAAGAAAAATGGGTATATGCCTGATGTACTTACTGTATGGTTTATGGAAAGTAAGATGCAACTTTTGTCTATTTACAATGTTAAAAAAATGAAAACAAAACTTGGAAGAACAAGATTAGAAGAAGCATAGAAGACGTACTCCGAGAAAAATGACAGTGAGGACGTCCTTCTTTCAGTGTAAATGGTGATTGCTTATCTCTTTGCTTGTTCCATCATCTGGTTTCATGTCCGAAGAATCTCATGTTTTTGTTTCTATTTTTATTTTTATTATTTTTAGGTAAATTACACTTACACCCCCTTGAAGTTTGGATTTAATACATATCACTCCTAACGTTTGAGAAATTACACTACCTCTCTGTCATTATAATTATTTAGACAGAATGAAGATATTGAACTCATGCACTCTCTCTTTTTTATTTTGTTTTACTTTCTCTTTTTTTCTCCATTTCCTTTACTTTTTTTTTAATATAATTTCTTTTGTTTTTCTATTAAGAGTTGTTATCTTTTATATAAATAAAGGAATTTGTGAAATGAGATTATTAACTACAGAGGTGAAAATATAATTTTTAAAACATCAAAAGATAAATAATAATTAGACCAAATCTCAAAAAGTGTCAACGTAATTTATCCTTTATTTATTTTTTATTTTTTTTGTTGTTATTTCTTTAATCTCTCCGCTTTTAGAGGGGAAAGGGCCAATGCTGTATTGACTAGTAGGAAAGGTAGCGTGGATTTAGTCCTAAAGACTCTATTTTTTTTTATTATTAATCATTATTTATTTAATTTTTTAAGAAAGAAAAAAGACAAAAGACACGGCTAAAGTCTAGAGGGAGTGGATGGTATGAGATGCTTTAAGTGATAACTGACAAAACAAGAAAAAGGAAAGAGAAAAAAAAGGGCAGCAGCATATGTCTCCTCCTCAGAAACCCGACTGACCAGCCTCAAAAAGCTCCCAACCCCACCCCTCGCTCGCATATACCCCACTCACCACCACCTCTTTACCTCCACTCAATTATGAGTAATGCTACACACCTATCTTTATTAATTTAAAAACTAAATTCTTTTGAGAGCAGCCTAATTGGTTTGGAGGGAGTTCTTAAGTTGTTATTGACATAACATTTGATGTAGATTCGATTCTCTTTTTCATTGTGTAAGTTTTGATTTAAGTGGAGTTTGTATTAAAAGGTTAATAAAAGTTTTCAAATTATACTCTTTAATTCAGAGTATGCTGTGCGTATCACATAGTAACCTAGGCTAATAACCAGAATAAGAACTCACAATGTTTTCAAAAATCGATATCATGGTTAGTAGAGGCCG